CTATATTTCTGACCCGGAACAGGACCTATTACAACAATCTTTTTTTGAGTATGGCGATAATTCTGAAAGTGATTCTAAATTTCTTATTAGCACAAAACATTTTTCATTCTCTGTTACCATTTGAGTAGTATTCTGGGCTCAGGTTGTAGTTTTTACTTAATTGCTACTACAGTCCCTTTTATTGTATCACCGTAGCAGTTCACTCCAGTTGATCTAGTATTTGAAGCTATATGACGTTAGTTTATCTGGCTCTATACTTATGATTTTACAAGGCATTATTTGTTACTGCTATCTAACTTTATCTAAACTTTGACTTGTATGAGCATTTAACAGCTCTCCAATTATGCATGCTGATAAAGTTTCTCCATAACCTTGCAGGCTGATCATAAACTATCATATGCTCTAAGCCATTGCAACCCTCGCAGTGAAACAAATATAAGGTTTGGTTCAGGTGTGCTGGCTGCATATGTCTTGCATCTGCATGTTTTTCTACAAAAATTGTGCCGTGTTCAATAGGTGGCAAGTTCCAGTTTCTGGGTTATTTTGGTCCTAAATATAAGTCTCAAGTTGTGTTTCAGCGGTGTCAATTTGCAAAAGTGCGAAAAATGGTAAAAGATGTGCATGACCATCTAGTGTTGAACAGTTATTTTCCACGTCCTGCACTGTTGCCATTTGTCCAATTCTTCCTAAGTTGTTTTCTTTTTCTTTCTCTTAAAGCATATATTTAGTCATCGAAGAATTCATTAAAAATTAAGTAATGCTTCTCCTGGATGCGCTCGCCTTGTACATTATCTTGCACAACGTTAAAATTATGCATCATCTTTTTCATTATAGAGCTCATATATTCTGTTGTCCATTCGAGCAGGATGATATTGAAGTACTTAATTCCCGTGAAACTTTCAATAGGCATCCTGCCTAAAACTTGTCTCCTGGAGAGATACAACCTACTTGAGGTATGGCTCCCTGCTTGTTTATTTCTATACACAGAAACTTTCTTCATTAGTTGCTATCTTATTGATAGAAATTGAAAGAAAATTAAATGAACTAGAAAAGCTAATGGAAATAATTTGAGTTTAATAACCTGGAACTTAGAGTAAGGATGTTTAAGTGCTAATTTTCAAGCATCTAATATAACTGTAGAAGTAATTATCGACAATTTCAATTTGCAGTACGAAAAGATTGTGCAAGCTCTAGAGAGAGGTGATCTCCGACTACTCCGGTGTGCACTTCAGGAGCATGAAGACAGGTATGTTTGTCCTTGATTAATGTAATATGATGTTCAAACCAGTGAAAAAAAATTTACATATGCTACAACAGGTTTTTAAGATCTGGTGTCTATCTTGTTTTGGAGAAGCTAGAGTTACAAGTTTACCAAAGATTATTAAAGAAAATGTGAGTGGCCATATCAAATGATTCTAGTTTCTATAGTTGCTAGTAAAGTTTATTAATCATATTTATGTTTATACCTGCAGATACATCATCCAAAAACAGAAAGACCCAAACAGAGCCCACCAACTCAAGTTGGAAGTAATTGTCAAAGCACTGAAATGGCTTGAGATTGACATGGATCTAGATGAGGTTTGTTTTTTTTTTTTTTTTTTTTTGTTCTTTTTGGGTTATTTCTCAGTACCTTTATGGCCTGTTTGCAGTCATTCTCTATATGGTTACTGATCAGTTACCAGTTCTAATTACCATATTAATCTTTAGATACATAACTATAACATGATTTGTTGTGTTTTAAGTTATATCCCACAAAGTGAATTTTATGAGGAGCAATTTAAACATAACAAATTATAGTATGATTATGTATATTAAAGATGGATATGAAAATTAGAATTAACAATTAATGGGATATGAAACAAAAAGATAGGTCTCTGTATATAGGCTATTGTGTTACTTATCTTGGTGTTTTTGCAACGTGTAGGTGGAGTGCATAATGTCTATTCTAATATACAAAAATCTGATGAAAGGGTACTTCGCCCATAAAAGCAAAGTTGTGGTTTTGAGCAAGCAAGATCCTTTTCCCAAATTAAATGGGAAGCCTGTCAACTCGTAGATCATATAAGAATTGTGAAAACGCCCTCTTTAACTTCTGAAACTCTGAAATGTAATTATAAAAAAATACTCTCAATTTAATTTTATCAGTAAAAAAAACGTCACGTTAGTTTGTAGTCTGTCAATCAACAGCTGAAAATATGAAGAGTCAGATAACTTGACATATTTTATTACTTACATTGTTATGAATTATCTTATAATATGTCATACAATTGTTATATAAAGTGTTTTTATATATATTTTTTTAAAAAAAAAAAATCAACAATAAAAAGTTGTTTTTGTGAAAAGTATTTCTGGTAGTCAAAAGTTGGGGCATTGGATCCAGTGCAGAATATTGCAAGGTAAGTCAATCGTCAAATTCCCCAACCCTGCAAACTTTTGACCCAAAACCCGAGACGTGTTGTTGAATTTCTCACTCTTAATAATAAATTTTTAAGTTAATAAATCACAATTTTAACCCATTTATATAATTATTTTAAGGATACTTAGTTACCTATTAATAAAAACCATATAATATATTAGTAAAACTAAATATAGGGTAGGATGTAGGTGGGGATTGAGCTAACTAATTTTTTTTATTTTATGTATTTAATGAAACATTGTTAATGAACTTATAAACTTCTCTACCAACTAAAAATTAAGTAAAACACTTGTGATTACAAATGTATCGTTCATGTGAGGATTACAAGAGATTATTTGTAGTCAAATTAATTTTTACATCTAAAAATACTTTTTAGACTATTATTTTTAAAAACACATTTTTTTATATAAAAAAATAATAATAATAATTAAAAAAATACTTTTTAAATTATCTTCTTTGAGATTATCATAAATAATAACTGTTAGAGTTTGCTCTCGTAGTCAAATTTGAAAGAGATTATATTATAGTTTGACAAAAATTTATATTCTTGGCTATGGATAATTTTCACATCAATTTTCAGAGTACAAAGGATGGCTGCCTACGGAAATTTGTACAAACGCAAAGTCAGAATTATAGTTATGATTTATATACAGTACAATTTTCGTCTATTTTTCATGGTATGTAGGATTTCAAAAAATATAAATCTGAGTATTTAATTAATTTAATAAATCAAATTGCCATTAATATCTGTTTAACAAACATTACTAATAATTATGCCATTAATCAGTTTGATTATTTTGCTTGCTATTCATAACTGAGTCGTCTTCTACATGTTTGCCCACCTATAATTGGAAGTGTAGAGTTTATATTTACATATAATTGTGCTTATTAATTTAGAAGTGAAAGGTTGAAATAAGTATAATAAGAATTTGGAATAGCTAGAAGTTCAATTCAATTGTTTAAAATATTTAACTAAATTTATTTTAAAAACCAAGTAAATAATTAATGTTTTATTCGAACCCAAATGTTTTTCCTTTTTTCTTTTGGAGCAACCCATATTTGTGCATGTGTCCGAAGACTATATGTTTGTGCGTAAATGTGACGTAGGTAAACAAAAATATTTAGCTTGACCAATGCATAAATAATATCAATGAAATGCTATATAATAACAAATGAAAAGAACACCCTAGTGGGTTCTCTCTATTACTCTAAGCTATCTCTCCTTTGTTTCCTTGTCGCTCTGTGGTTTCTTTGTTGTTTCCTCGGGCAAATACATCAAAGTTTTTACTATATCAAACTAAAGGTAAAAGTTCTTGTATGGTATCAAAGCATATGGACAACAAGATCTCGAATTAGATGGGAAGCTTGCTTCTTCATCAAGAACCTTCTCCATCGAGTGGCAGTATCCTTAATCCTACAAAACCTAGTAGTCCATATTATATTGGCAATAACTATAGTTCTGAGTTAACCACTAGTAATGCAATTATTAGATGTAACAAACTGTCATAACTGAGCTAGATTTATGAAGCGAGCATTGGAAATAAAAAAATAAGTCAGGGTTCACAGAAGGATATTTGAAAGAACCAGCAAATCTAAATGATCCACTCATGGATCACTAGTTGCAATGTAATGACACCATCATTACTTAGATATAGAACAAACTTTCGACAAACATCAAACTTGGGATTTTCTTTGCTAATACTACTTACCAGCTCTAGATCGACTTAAAACAGAGATATGTATAGCAAAATACCACCAGGATCCATGAGGAAAAGCAAGTTATAGCCAACCTCATGTAAAATTAAGATACTGTAAGTGTTTGCTTCTCAAAATTAAAAGCATTATTTGATGAACTAATGAATTATGAGTCGATTTCAAACTGTATATGTGTGGTTTTGAAAACCCTAGTAGAATATCAACAAAGGGATCAGGTGATGAAATTTCTTATGGGACTAAATGAGTCCTATAAAACTAGTAAAGCTCATATGTTACTCATAAATCTTTTTCCTAGTTTAAGAGAGATATATTCAATTGTTCAACAAGAAGAAACATGTATGGAATAATTATTAGATTTTGTGACTGAAAAAACCCTTACTTTAACTATTAGAGATACAAACAAAATAGTTAAGGGATTCACTTCCAACCAATAAAAATACTATTCAACTCATTTCTAAATTGTAGGTCATTCTATAGAATAGTGTTTTAAGGTTAACGAGAATACGCCAACTTGTTTAAATTGCAGCATGCATAGACATACTGCAGAGACTTGTTTCAAATTGTGTGGATACTCAAAGGGTTATAAAACCTATGAGAAAGGAAAATAATCAAGTGTTAACTAAGTATATTCACGTAGCTCATGTGAGTCAAAAACTAATATGAAACAAGCAATGATCACCCAAAAACACTACACACAACTGATGGTATTGTTGTAGCTAAAGCTCTTCCCATGATAACTTGTACAATAATTACATATAAAGCCACAAGACACAAATATGTCATGGTTCTTTAGTATGTATCTTTGTCTCTCATGTCATTCAATTGAGTAAAATAAAATAACATGTTCTCATGGATCATAGACATTAGAGCCTCAAATTACATTGTATCCACATCAATTTTAAATATTGGAGTTATAAAAAAGGATTTCTTCACATGTTACTTTGCAAAGATAGCATATATAGTCTTTGTTATCTTTACATTGCACATAAAGGATATTATGAGAGTGTGTGGCTAAATGTA